CTGGCCCCCCGCTCACAGCTGCGGGCCGTGCTGGTCTCGGGGGTGTTTGGGGCCGGAAGGGACCTTCCACCAGCATGCCCTGCGCTTGGGCCGGGGTCTTTCGCAGATCGCCAGGGTGGGTGACCTGTTTCCCGTGCACCCAGCGACTTCCAGACTCATCGATTCATAGATGCTGCGGTGGGACGAGACCTCAAGAGATCATCGAGTCCGACCCCCTGCCCTGGGCAGGAATGAGCGCTCACGTGTGGGATCTCCGGACTCGCACTCGGAGCTGCTGCCAGCGAGAGGGCTGAGCACGGGCCTGCCCTAGGAAGAAGTGTGGTGCGCTACCGTGTGCTCGCCCTCTGCCCGCACCCTTGTAAGTGCGAGTACCCAGAGCCGTTTGCACCGAGACGGAGCACTAGTACCTGCCACGAAGCCGAGGTGGGCTCGCGACTCAAGAGGTGAGGGCGGTAATCACCGTCCCAGGGAGCACGAGTGTTTCCCAGCCCTCGCACCCACTGAGAGCTGGGCAGGGCATTTGGTGTGCACGATCATTTGCTCCGAGAGAGGTGGCATGCGTGCCCCCAAGACATGGGGCTGGATCCTCTGAAGGAGTGTGCTAGCGCGTGTGAGCCAGATTACACAGACATGCTACTTCCAAGAGTGGGCGCCCATCCTTGTTCATGAACGTGAACCCTGGTGAATGCTTGTGCACGGCCCTCTGTCTGTGAGTGCATGCCTGGAACGGCTCGCCGAATGTAATCCAGATGAGGGAGGAAGGAAGAGCATCTGGCCTTGATTGGGAGCGCACATAAGCATTCACACTCAAAAAGAACAGAGCTTAATCCTTAGAGGGTGCTCGCATGTTACGGGTTTGTGCATATAGCACAGTTACTCATACACAAGGTATGTCTACACATGTGTCGTCCATATACATCAGGACTGAGGGATCAGGGTTGGGTTCACATGCACATACACACACACACACATACATAAATACACATGTGGGTCCATTGCTGTGCACTTGCCCTCAGATGTACACATGGATCAGAAATGGAGCACAATTGTGAACACACTTTGCAGTCATAAGGGAGCAAAGCAGGGCCCACACTAGCAATTATACACTCATAGGGAATAAGGCTGTTGTGCTAAAAGGGCCAAATGCTGGCACTGATGGAATAAGACCCTCTTCTGCATTAGTACATTTAAAGGCTGTGCAAACTCAGGCATTCACCAGTACGGGGCTGTGTAGGCTTGCATTCAAATTCATATAAAAAATTATGGCTATGAACTGTCATTCAACACACACACCCACACACTGATCACAGCAGTGCACATATATAGCCACTTGATGACACTGGGCATGTGTACACATACATTAACATGTTTTAGCTGACTCACATTAAATCTAGTACCTCCATTTTGAGGTACTAGGAAAATGCGCATTACCCTGTCTTAACACACATTAACTAAAGAGCATGGGGTGTTTATAAATGTGCTGAGGGGGGTGCTTTAATTAGTGAGCCGTGCTAATTAAAAGCACTTGAGCGTCACATGTATCAGTGCCCTGCACTGAAAAATGGTGGCGGGGCGCTTTGAACTAAAACTCATCGAGCAAGCTTTAAAGTGCCCCACCGCCATTTTTTTAGCGCTCCAGTGAACTTGATTAATCGAGTCTGTTTCAATATGCTGGATTTACAGCACGTCAGAGCAAACCTTGCTGAATGTCTGTAGGAGCCCACTATTCTTAAGCAATGCTTAATGCGCATTCACCTATTTTAATGCGCATTAGCTAAATAGCACTTTCAGTGACGCTTCAATGCACATTAAAATAGGCTAGTGTGCCTTAAAGCGCACATGTAGATATGCTGTCACTTTGTCCTAGTCATAGCCCCACTTTCTCATTCATTCTCACTGCTAGACCCTGTACACAGACCCACAGAGACTTCCAATGGTACACTCCTACATGCAGTTACATAGACGCACACAGTCCTGAACCCGCAGCCAGTCACATTCATACAGTTTCACATGCACAAATCGACTTATTTAAACTGCACTGATAATCACATTGGGGCTTTGGTTTAAAAGCATAGACCTTAAAGACAGATACACAGCTAGAATTGGGTCTTAAATATTGCAGAAGATTGTTTAGCAGACTAAAGCAATAATCTGCAGTTTCTCATACTCTAGTAAGTGTGATCAAGGATATTGCTTTTATCCTTTCAGTTCTTTTTTCTGATCATTGATCTCGCTACAGAGTATGTCTATATACAGCACCAGGACCTTCCATCATGTCAACTAATTTGAAGCACATCAGGAACTGTATCTATATTTGTTGCCAACTGTCATGTTTCCAATTTGTTTCTCTCACAACATATGCAGTCGTTTTATAGCTATAAATGTAGGGTCTGATACAGCCTATTCCTTTAGCTTCTGCCAGCCTCCAGCTATGCGGGGTCCCTAAATAGTAGAAAATATATGTACAGCACTGAGAGCAATGCCCAGAGAGAGATTTCTGGGAGATTCTGGCTGAAAGGGGTTGAGTGCTAAGGGCCTTTCTCTTGCACGTAGGGAAACGGGACTTTGCCCACTTTTGTCAATAGACAGATCAGCATCAGAAGTACCTGATTCCATCATCATCGTGTTGAATATTTGGCTAGCCATTTAGAGCAAGAGGGGCAGCAATGCTATCAGGTCCAGGAGCTGCTAACAATAAATCCAAAGGTAATGCATATTGAAGATCTTAGGTGAACTACACAGACAGTATCTTGCTTATTATCACACAGTAGAATGAAATATCAATTATACTAGTCTACAGGGAGTCTTATTTGTTTTCCTGTTCATAAGCTACCTCTGCTGCAAGCTTGCACCGCATCTTTTGATTCTGTGGAAGTGTATCCATATCTGCTTTGTCCATGCAGCTTGATTAAATGCACGTGCTCTCTTTTGTTGACACGACCAACTCCTTAAAAGAAGTGTTCTGTGGTGCTGTCGCACATATGGTGCTATCTATCACCATTTGCATGCAGTGACAGCAGCAATGTTTAACAGTCTCTGCACGTGATTGGGAATGAAGTTGCAGTTCTTTGAAGCGGAGTGGAGAACCTCAGGAGTTTGTTGTATAAGTAAGACCCATAAGAAGAAGTCACCTTGGGAAGCAATGCGGTCTGGTGGATAAAGCACAAGACTAGGAATCAGGAGGTCTGGGGAATCTACTGCCGGCTCTCATACTGACATGCTGCACCCCCTTGGTTGTATCATTTTACCTCCTTGTGCTCCTATTTTTTTCATTTGAAGTAGTAAGGATAATACAGATAATAAATTACACTTATCTGTCTCGCAAGAGTGTAGAAGTACTAATGTTGGTAACATGCTTTGCCACTTAGCTGGAAGGCATGATGATGTGCAATTTATTATTATTTATGTGATCATTAAAGCGTTGTTATTATTATTTAAAACCTCGCGTTCCTAAAACTGTTCAGAAATGTCACAGCCCATCTGCTACCTCTGCCTAGTGTGCAGTAAATGCATTTCAAGATCTCCCTAAGCCTTAAGTAATATGTGACCAGTCTGATGGAGGTGGGAGGGGGAAGGGGAAGGATCTTAGAGTCCTGTTGTCTGTTTTATCACAGGAATTAAGACAGGGGGAAGAGATGGAAATGCTGATTGTCCTAAGCATTGCCATTCAGAGAAGAGGAGGCCAGGCCTGTTACACTGCCTGCAGCTTTTGCTTGCTTACCCCTCCTTACAGGCTGTAGGAGAAATGGAAAATGGTTGAGAAGAAAAGACCCATTTTTATGCAGCCACCACAGAGCAATCCCTGAGAAAGGGACCTTTTATCATGGATGGAAATTGTGCTCCACAGACAGTTTTGAGCTGCTGATCATACTGAGGTTAGGATTTGTTTCTAAATTTGGGCTGGGGATACTCTCGGAGTGTGTAGCCTTGCTTATAGGGTAGGACCTGTTTTGTTTTGAGTCTTAGCAGAGTCAGGCACATCCTTACCGTTGTATATACATTAGTGACAATATTTATTTCTGGCAGGATTCTGATGTTCTCTTTTATCTTGGTTAGTGCCTTGCTCCGTCAATAGTGATATCAAAGTCATCAGGACAGCTAATGGTTAGGGGTCTACCTAAATCACAAGGGGACTTACCAATTTTTGCGGATTGATCGTGGCATAAATTTCTAATTCCACGCTCATTTGTGGTGGTCCTGCCCCTTGGCACTGATTGGCAGAGCGGCCTGGGGGGGGAGGGATGAAGGGCTGGCCATCACCTTGCTTGCTGGCTGCCCTTTGTGCCACCCTGTCCCTCAGCACTGATTGGCAGAGAGGCCCCGGGGGTGGGGAGGAGGGACAAGGGGTCAGCCATCATCTCATCTGCTGCCCCACCAGCTGGTGCCTTCCCCTCCTGGCAGTGAGGATTGCTGGCATCCACTGGGGAGCATTTCCTTTTTATTAAGTTTTTTTGTTATTGATTTTGTGGATTTTGCAGACAATCCCAGATTTCATGGATTCACAAAATTCATGAATTAAGTAGGTCCGAATTAATGGTATAAGGCACTAGTCAGGAAATATAAGAGCATTATAATCTGATCCTTACTGGCCTTATCTACACGTGCACTTAACTGTGAAGTAGACTACTTACCTGAGGAGTAAAGCGTCACCATCTCCACGTGCTACACTATTAGGCTGCAGTAAACTAATTATCACCACTGTAAGATAGTACTGTTGGGAACACAGTCTATTATCTACTCTAAGCCTTCCAAAATCACTGAATACCACCCGAGGACAATTATAGACAGGTTATTTATAGACAGTACTGTTGGGAACAGTACTATCTTATGGCAGGGTAATTAACTGCGATTAAATGCATGTGTAGAGACTGATGCCCCCACTCCCCACCCATGCCTCTGGCTCTGGTGTAAACTCTTCCACCCTGGCTCAAATTGCTGCTGTCCCCAGGCACAGTGTCTACATGCATGCCCAGGAGTAGTTTACTCTGGCTCAAACTGCTCTGGAGTTTATTGCTTTAAATTAATTGCACATGTAGATCTATCCATTATGTATTTCTTGTAGAGGATAAACCTTGATTTTCTTCCTGTGCCTTCTTTAGGAGCTGCTCATTAAATGAAGTTGTTCATTTTTAAAAGGTATTTATATTACCCCAATACTAGGTGTCTGAGGTCTTTAGTTAGAGGCTGCCATGAAAATAAAATTTATTATAAATATTGGCTGAAGTACACATTCTTCACCCGGGTTGTTATTTTTGTCATTGCAGTATTTGTTTATTTTCAGAGAACTTAGTACAGCATATTTAGGTGAAAAATATTGTTTATTTTTAAAGAACAACAACGTATTTAACATAGAGCAAAGAAAAAGGCAAGCATCAATATAATAATGACAATTGAACTGAATTCACCACATTCAAAGTGGAGTGGTACCGGTTTGTTATCTGAAAAGCAAAGTAATTCCAGTCAATGGAAGCCCCCAAAAAGGGTCAAGTGAAAAATCTGTCTATAATTTTCCTCAGGTGGTATTCAGTGATTTTGGAAGGCTTAGAGTAGATAGGACCAGCCATTCTTGAGTTATAAGCAAACATGCATAATACAGACACACTTCATTTTATAGGTATAGATTTAGTTTTCTACATTCATCGTGTTAATTTTTTACTTGAGCCCAACAGAATGCACTCTCTCCTGTGCTGTATATGTACACATATCAGATCTGCTTATGAGCTTTTAATTCTTGGCAACCGTCAATCCTCTGGATCATGGTTTATGCACAAGAGGTCTATGCAACCATCACAGCAAGACCCTCAGTGCATACGCCTAGGCAAGAGTCTGGAGGAGTGGAGGCTTCCTTAGACGTACTATCCCTCTTTAAACCGAGACAGAGTCCAAAG